TAATTTCTTCTGTTGCCGTGGGTTCGGTCGATCTAATTCTCGTGTTGTGGTTAGAAATGGTTGTCTTGACATTCTTCATGCAGCTGTAACTAATTTTGGTTGAATTGCGGTTAAAGATCTTATGTAGACGACTTGATTTAGGGAAATGTTTGTCGAAATCATTTCTGTTTTTAGAAACGCTAGTGCCACAGTTTTTAAAATGGAGTAACACAATTTTTTGTACTTGTACTAATTCTGCCCAGCTATTTTCATTTTTGATATTTATAAAGTGCTATGTAATTTCAAATTAACTTAGAAAGCGCGGTTAATTAAAGTCTATTCTTTGTTAATTCTGACTCCAGTTGCAAGTTATGCTAGTTGTATGTAATACTATGTACACTCGATCGGCAGGCATGATGAGACATCTCATGTGGTTGTAATTAATATTGACTAGAACTGTGATATTGATACAGCCTATAGCTGCCCAGATACTGTTATTAAACGACTAAAGTGATTAGCTTAAAACGTAAATTTGATTACTAATTTCAGACTGCAAGCTAGAGTAGTGAACCATTACAGAAAGCGTGGGGTGGACCATTCTCGTCCCCAGAGCCATTTTCACTCGGTCACTCGTTGAAAATTAGCAGGGATATTTTCAAGCACTTTAGTCTTCTACCATTTTTCGGAAGAAGATTGAGTTTCTTTTGGCTTTTGGGGGGAGGACGTTAAAATACTTTGTGGCAAAATATTTTGGAGGGATGTAAAATACGTCGGGATAGACTTTTTAGTTTTTACGTGTTTACATTTTGGAAGGGGGAGTTGCACGAGGCGCCACTCATGGTTGGCGCCGACCGGAAAAATTTTGAAACTTTGAAGTCTGTAGATCGTCGGAAATGGCATTTTCAGACACTAGTTTGGCCATCAGCTGGCTGTAGAGCACAGGAAGGAAGTTGATTCAGGCAGTGTATATGTACAATGGCAATTAGCAATTCTGTAACCTTACTTATTAATTTTTGGACACTGTCCAAGAAATAAATCTCACGGAAACAAAATAATTTTGCGTAATGCCTATCGGACAATCAGGACCGACAAATGGTTCATTTGGGACCGACTTTTTGGACTATCTCTCAAAATTATCGGGGTGTCACACTCCTTCACACCTCCCGTAATGTGCGGCCCTGTTTGTGGTACACATTTCTAGTGTGCATGGGCACAAGTATTCCTCTACAAGATTTTTTGTCCCAGAAGTTAAACAGTTTTCGACAGCTTTTTCAACAAAAATGTATAGAAAAACAGGTTTTTAATGGAACATTTACATTAAAAAAATCAAATTGTGAAAAAAATTGTGGAGGAAGATTGAGTTTCACTCAATTAGCGTTTCTCACACTGCCATTTTTGGGTGGCATTTCAGCCGAAGTCCGTGAGATAAATCCAAATAACAGCGACTTTTTATAATTTTTTGGACGAATGATGGTAAATTTGCTTTGTAAATGGTTAGTTTGTTTTGAAAAATTGCTTTTCACATTGTTTTAATTGTCTGCATTGGTTAACGAGAATTGGATGCCACCCAAAAATAGCAGATATTCGTCATCGTGGCTAATTAAAGATTGAGTATTTACTACCATATACCAGTAGTAGAAAAGTGCTTGAAAATATCCCTGAATTAGGCTCTGGGTTAGACAACTAAAGGGAAAGATCTGACTGGCTTCTCAGAGAAATGCTATTTTGCAGATACCTTTTCTCCATTTTGTTTGTTTTGGGAAAATTATTAATTGTACAGGGGTCGGTTGTATCAAGCCCATTTAGCGTTTAGCCGCTATCCAGCATATACTGTAGATTTCTTGTCTGGCAAATAAAATAGTCAAACAGCCGATAAAGTTTAACTATCTGTAGGATAATCTTTAATTTAACCAGAGAAAACCAGATTTTCCTGACATTTCTTACTTCTACATCGTCTTTTGCTAGGCATTTGTAAACGTTTGAAGCTTTACGTAAGTAATGTATAAATTTGTGAATTAGCCTTTCTCACAATGACGAATATCTGCCATTTTTGGGTGGCATCCAATTCTCGTTAACCAATGCAGACAATTACAACAATGTGAAAAGCAATTTTTCAAAATAAACTAACCATTTACAAAGCAACTTTACCATCATTCGTCCAAAAAATTATAAAAAGTCGCTGTTATGTGGACTTATCTCGCAGACTTCGGCTGAAGTCAAAAATGGCGGTGTGAGAAAGGCTGCAATAAAGTTTGTTGTTGTTTTTATTTGGAGTTTGCTCGTCCATTCATTGCAATTCTATAATTAAAGATTTTTAGATTCTTTATGTGAAGAGTCGAAGGCAATAGTAAAAACTGTGTGTTGTGTTGGGCTTTTGTCAGTTGATTCAATCAGTTTTATACTGTTTGAATATTTGTTCCTTCACCTTGCACTTTTATTCAAAACAATTTTAATTAAGAACATTTTGTCCCAAGTTTTGATTGGCTGACCGATGTGATTTAATACAAGCAAACAAAATTTTTTCGACTTTCAGCATCTTGTTGTCTATTTTGTACACTTGTCGGCTTTCCAAAGTCATTGTTTGTTTTAATTAATAGCTAAAAGTGGGAGTCTTATTCTGTTTGTTTTCAAACTATATAATATAAAAAAGGAGAAAAACCAGAGTAATTTATTCCTACACGTTTTCACATCTGATGATTTGTCCGACTAAAAGACGATTTTGAGACGATTTGTTCATCTGGACGACTTGTCCGTCTTCTGATGTGAAAACGGCTAATAACTGTGTTTCATGTTTGTGCTGTTTTGTATTGTATTTTGTTCTATTTTATTGTTTTGTATAGTTTTAGAATGGTAAGCACCTTGCATGGGACTTCATGTCTCGTTCGTGCTTGATATTGTCCATTTGAGTATTCTACTTATTTGTACATAGAACTGTTGTGTTTAAAACGTTGTAGAATTCTCAATAAATTGTTAAATTATTATTAGAGTATAAATATAGCAAAGCCATGGAATATTACAAGTGAGCAAGTGACCTCAGTGTACCTCAAGATCAAGATTAGCAGTATCCCAATATCCACAGGATACCAGATTTCAATTTTGGATACTAGATATCATAGGCTTAGTATCCCGACGGGATACTAAAAAATCGAAATATTGGCGAAGTTTGTACATCGCGACGAAATGTTCGTCAAAATTATATTTTTCATTGTTTGTCACGTGAAAACGAAATGGACCTGAGCATGAGGGTCGGCAATGATTGCTCAGAATATGATAACCATGATGATAACCAATGATTCCGTGTGATTTCCTGTCGCCATTGCAACATAATGAAATTTGACTTGTGTTTCTATGCCTATGGGTTTCCCTGCTAGCACGAGATAAAAAGCATGTGCTCAAGTTTACGGCAGGTTTTTACAAAAATGTGGAGATTATACATAGTTCGAAATCAGCTAGACCATCAAGAGAGACGACCAACTTCAACAACAGCTGCTGCTGTTTTGTAGTATTTGTTTACACACCTGTCAAACAGTTCTTTACCTTGTTTGGATACCGCTTATCGAATACCTACTACCCAAATCTGGGATACTAGATTTTAAGACCCTAGTATACCCACTTGGATACTAGTAAAAAATTCAAATCTTGAGCCCTAAGCTGGCAGTTAAAAGCGAGTTTTTCATGTTCATTCGGGATTTAAAAAGATAACTCCTCAACAGGAGGAACTCTGAGTTTATCCACTGTATAGCGATTTAAACAGTCTCAAGGGACCGTTTAAGTTTACATGCTAGATAGGCAAAATTTAACCAGTGGATAGCGCTAAACGGACTTGTTACAACATGATTTTTCGAGCATTTAAATTTTATCCGGCGGATAGCGAGCTAAATGATGGTTAGCAACTTAAACACCTTTGATACAACCAACCCCTGCAGTACAATGATATAATTGTACTCTTCTCAACCAATCAGCATCCAGTAACTTTGTCATGCTAATAATAAAGGTTATGCCGAAACAATCTTCGCCAGCCAAAAATTGCTGTCAATAATTTCATTGTCAGCAGCAATTGCCATTTGCCATCGCTAATTTCGAGGACCGACTACTGTATTACAGAGGGCCATTCCATTTAATGTCCACCCTCCCCCCCCCCCCCCCC